CTAAAATAAATAAATAAAATCTTTTTTAAAAAAATGGATTAAAAACTTGAATGTAAGATCTAAAACCATAAAATTCCTAGAAGAAAACAAAGGCAGTAAGCTCTTTGAAACAGGCCTTGGTGATGGTTTTGAATCTGACACCAAAAGCAAAAATAACCAAGTGGCACCCCATCAAACTAAAAAGCTTCTGGATAGCAAAGGAAACCATTAACTGGAAAGACAACCTACTAAATGAGAGAAAACATTGACCTGGTATTTTGATAAGGGCTAATATCTGATAAAGGGCTAATATCCAAAATATATAAAAAATTCATATAACTCAACAGCAAAAAGAAAAAAAATCCAATTTAAAAATGGGCACAAGACCTAAATAAACATTTTTCCAAAGACACACAGATGGCCAACAGGTCCATAAAAAGATGCTCTACATCATTAATCACCAGAAAAATGCAAATCAAAACCTTAATGAGATATCCCCTCACAAATATTAAAATAACTATTATTAAAAAAAAAAACTAGAAATAATGAGTGCTGATAAAAATGTGGAGAAAAGGGAACCCTTGTGCACTGTTGGTGGGAATGTAAACTGGTGCAGCCACTCTGGAAAACAGTGTGGAAGTTCCTCAAAATATTAAAAATAGAACTACCATATGATCCAGCCAATTCCACTTGTGGGTTATTTATCCAAAGAAAACAAAAACACTAACTCAAAAAGTTAGTGTTCACTGCAGCATTATTTATAATAAATAGCCAAGATATGGAAACAACTTAAGTGTCCATCAGTAGATGAATGGATAATGAAACTATCACATACACACACACACACACACACACACGAATGGATAAAGAAATTGTTACACACATACACAGAGGAATATCATTCAGCCATAAAAAAGAATGAAACCTTGCTATTTGTGACAACATGGAGAGGGCTTCAAGGGCATTACGCTGAATGAAAGAAGTGAGAGGGAAAAACAAATACCATAATAATCTTACTTATGTGGAATCTAAAAATAAGTAAAAATTTAAAAACCAAACTCAAAGACACAGAAAACAGACTGGTGACTGCCAGAGGTAGGGTATGGGGAGGTAGGAGAAATGGATCAACTCTTTTTGTTTGGGTTTTTACTTACTTAAATAAATTGAATTTTTTTAAAAAAGAAAAGAACAGGGGCGCCTGGGTGGCTCAGTGGGTTAAGTGTCCGACTCGTGATTTTGGCTCAGGTCATCATCTCAGGGTCCTGGGATTAAGCATTGCATCAGACTCCATGCTCAGTGCACAGTTTGCTTGAAATTCTCTCTCCCCCCCTCTGCCCTTCCCCCTGCTCATGCACCCTTGCTCTCTTTCTCAAATAAATAAATAAAATCTTTAAAAAAGAAAAAAAAAGAGAGAGAGAAAAGAAGAATGGTTACCTGTGGAGAGAAAAGGGGCAAGATGTAGAATAGAGCGAACAGGAATGGGTTTTCATTATAGACCATTCTCTATATTTTTTATATTATTTTGATTTTTGTGTGAAAAGATTTGATTCAAAAATTTTTTTCTAAATAAAAGCTAAGTTGAAAACTTATTTTTTAAAGCCAAATTTGAGAGATGGTAATAACTCACTAATTCACAAAGCTTGAGAAAGTGATCTTTAGGCACACAGAAAAGCATGACCAAAGGTAAAATATGATGAAGAACAAGATAAAGTTGAGTTCATCTAGCACAGGATGAACTGGAGGAGGTGTCACTGGGATAATGGGAAGCCACTGAAGGTATTTAAGAAAGTGATATATCACATCCTCATTTCAAGACAGAAAATAACTGACAAGAAGAGATGAATACCTTAGAAAAAAGACCAGTAGCAAAGACATCAGTTGGGTAATACAAAAGACCAGACCGAATGGAAGATGGCAGTCAGACGGTGGTAATAGCGTTGGCGTTGAGAGGAGAGGAACATGCAGTATGACTCAATGAAAATCTATGTGCTGAGAGTCTACTATACGTTGGTTATTGTGCTGGAGGTATACAATTAATGGGAAACAGATGATTTCTATGCCTAGTAAATCAGGGAAGATAAGCAGATTTCATGCCCTAACAGGTGTGGGGATACATATGTGTGAGGGGCTGAGAAAGACAGAAGGTCTTTCTGTCAAGGATGACAAAAGTTCCCAGCATCTTCAAATAGGGGAAAGAATAGTAAGAATGACTTAAGACTAAAGTAAAGGCAGGAAAATGAAAACGTCTCTGTGCACCACTTTGCTATTAACAAATCACAGAATTGTTCTAAAGGATGAATGAAAATGAAAATGAAAATACAACATTCTTCAATGCCATCATTCAGACACATCATCAATCTGATAATAGCTTTCCAGAGGGGGAAAATACACCACTACATAAAACATACAAATCCCATATAAAACTCTAATTCTGGATATTTTAAAAGGGGAGAATGGTAGAGAATATGTCTCAGAATCAAAGGAATATAGTATTTGCTAAGAACTGTTAATATCTCTTTTAGTAATATTTGTACTTTTTTTTTTTTTAAGTAGGCTCCATGCCCAGTGTGGAGCCCACTGTGGGGCTCAAGCTCACGACCCTGAGATCAAGACCTGAGCTGAGATGGAGTTGGACACTTAACCGACTGAGCCACCCAGGCACCCCGGTAATACCTGTACTTTTAAAAAGAAATTCTTCAAGACAGAGTTTGTATTTGGAGAGGTCAGATGGGAACTGCCTATTTGTCAAAGTCAGCCCTAGATCTGGCAGTTAAAAGTCTGAGGCCACACTGTCCAACAGAGTAGCCATAAGCTACCCAGAACTGTGGCTACGAGCACCTGAAATGTAGCTAATCCACACTGATGTGGGAGCTGCAAACAGAAAAACACACAGAATCTTAAATAATACATATGTAATTTTTATATTGACCACATACTGAAATGATAATATTTTGGATATAATGGGTTAACATATTACTATTAAAATTAAGTTCACCTAGTAAAAGTCAGAGAAAGACAAATACCATATGATTTCACTCATATGTGGAATTTAAGAAACAAAACAAATGAGCAGAGGAGAAAAGGAGGGAGGGAGGGCAGGAGAAAGGGACAGGGAGGGGGAGAGAGAGAAACCAAGAAACAGACTCTTAACTATAGAGAACAAATGGCTGGTTCCCAGAGGGGAGGTGGGTGGGTGGGGATGGGTGAAATAGGTGATGGGGATGAAGGAGTACACTATCCGTGATGAGCACTGGGTGTTGTACGGAAGCGCTGAATCACTGTATTGTACACCTGAAACTATTATTACACTGTATGTTAACTAACTGGAATTTGAATAAAAACTTTTTAAAAAATTAAGTTCACCTGTTTCTTTTTCCTTTCTTAATGTAGGTACTAGAAAATGTTAGATTACACGTATGGCTCCCATTTGTGGTCTACATTCTATTTCTAATGGACAGTGCTGGTCTGAGGCACAGGAAGGGGTTTTAGAGAAGAATCCACCCAACTCCTTCCCTCACTCTCCAATTCCTGTCTGCAAGCCTGAAACTTAGAGGATCAATCCTTTAATTTCCCAAATAAACACCAGATTTTCAAGAAGAACCATACCACAGGTTAACTTTCTTACCTGCCTTTCTGTTCCCTCACCCCTCTACCTACAGAGGTCTGTCATGACCTTGGAAAGTCTTCTGTCTGCTACCCCATACATCCAGAGACAGAGAAGTAATTCACAAAAGGGAACATTCTAGCTGCGGCACAGTTCGTCCCCTGCAAGTGAAGCTCCCTGACTTACTTATCCATGATGAATAACTAGTGCCTTCCCCAAGTTCCTTTCTTAGAGAGAAGTCTTTATAAATATATGAAGCTAATGAAGGGTCAATGCTCTCCCACTCACTGAAGTTTTAGGTAAATCACTTAACTATGCTGAACTTGCTTTGCCTTCTAAAAAAAAAAAAAAAAAAAAAAGATGAAACTAAACTGACTTTAATGTATCTTCCAATTCCAACATTCTCTAAGCATTCAAGAAACAACAGCTTTTTTAAAGCTTCGCACATATACACTCTACAGAAGTATAAGAAAATGAGTAAAATTATTCAAGCCTTTTCATAATAAAATCTAAAGTTCAAAAATTACACAAAGGTGGCATTTCTATGCATGTGCCTTATCCTGGAATTCCAGCCTTTTCAATTGCATTTAAAAATAATTATTATTATACTGTTCCTGGCTCAGCCTTCTATTGCTGCCATAGTCTGTTGAGGCATGATTCTCTGATTTATGCATTCTTAATCATCAAGTGGTTCCTGGCATATAGTGAAATAAGGCTTGGAGTAACTAAAGAATCTGCATCCCAACACAGCATACTTTATGTTGTTTTCATTTGAAAATTTTCTGGAGTCCAAAATACTGGCATTCATGGCTTATCCTGACCCACAGAAATGGCAATGCTAATCCACCACTAGTAGAGTAAGTACAGTGAACCAACCTTCCACTAAGTATAAAAGATTTGGCTGATGCATTCCATTTTTTTCCCATCCTTTTTCTCTCTTGAGAGCAACAAAAACTGTGAAAATTGGGTTGTGATGGAATAAAGTTAACTGGCCCTCCTGGAAAGACCCCAGCTAGGTGGCCAACGCATACACACACACTAACTGCCCCATTACTTAGATTTTACCTAAGCACAAGTTCTCAATTCTTAGTCTGGTTCTCTTACAATTTAGTCTGACTGAGAGAAAGACAAGAAGAGAATCCATTCTTCCCCTTAGTAACTCACTGTTGCTTCGATACCTGCCAAGTGGACTGAACTGCTGGGTTAGCAGAATCTGATCAGGAAACTATGATCCTGACAAAAATCAATCAGACTCCTTATAAATATGCATAGAGTGCAAATATTAAATTTGGTTAATATTGAGCCAAAACAAAAACCCTCTACATTAGAAAAGCAGGAAATCTGACAGCCCAATCTTTAGCACCACCACGAAATCCAGCACAGGTGAATTTCAAAAAAGAGAAAGAAAATAATGTACATCAAGGATTTCTTCATATCTTTTCGCTGTTCTTTGTAAATCATCTTCCTTCTCCGCAATTTTCTTATATAACTGATTTGTCTCTTCCTGATGGCTTTCCAAAAGTTCAGCTTCCACTTCCTGGGCTTTATCTAATACATAAAAAATGGGCACACACAAGAACACACATTAGGCAAGAATTAGTATCTACATCCCAAATTCAGTTCCAAATTAAATTTGATAAAAATCAATTGATCAAGGGTGTCTGGGTGGCTCAGTTGTTAAGTGTCTGCCTTTGGCTCAGGTCATGATCCCAGGGTCCTGGGATCGAGCCCCATATCAGGCTCCCTGCTCGGCGGGAAGCCTGCTTCTCCCTCTCCCACTCCCCCTGCTGTGTTCCCTCTCTCGCTGTCTCTCTCTCTGTCAAATAAATAAATAAAATCTTTAAAAAAAAAGTCAATTGATCATATATGTACCCTCCTGTACAGGGCAGGAATGTCTTTATAAGGCAATTAATTAGCTAATGTTTCAGGTTCTTTCACCCGCCCCTCCTCTCCTAAAGGCAAGCTGCTGCCAAGCAAGCACAGGTTCCAATTAGAGAACTTTCTTGGACAGGAACCATTTTTTTTCTCCAGTTCAATTACTTAAAAGCACTTAGCACAGTGTGAAAACAGTAAGTGTAAATTATAAATAGTCTCTGCTGATTCTGACTTGTTCTTTACTGAATTTAAAATTTGACTCACCAATGGTTTCTTTTATGGTCATTTCCAGCTCCTGGTCCTTTTGTGCCAGCTGTGTATGGAACTCCCTCATCAGCTGTTTTAATGTGGAATTGTGCTTCAACTCAAGATCTTCCTGCTCCTGTCTGTGCAACAAAAATATAAAGAGCTAACTGTTGTCAAACACATAACACGCCATATAGAGTTACCTAGTCTTCACAACAGTGCTCGTAAGATCTCATTGGTATAAAAACAGGTTCAAGGGTGCATACGTGTGTATGTGTGTGTCCAGGCACAGAAAACTCCTGGGAGGATACAGAAACTATGATTATCTCTATACAACAGTCCTGGGGATTTGAGAATTCTTTTCCCCTTAAAATTTTCATCATACACATCTATCTTATATCATAATAATGCTAATACTAAAAATAGTAAAACAAAAAGAAAGTAATGACTGGGATACGTACATAATAAGCATAATCATATATGCAAGAAATGTTTTTCTCCCCTCTAAACAGACATGAAAGAACAATGCCTCTTGCCTTAAATTGTTTTATATTTCTTCTCGGCATTTAACAACTTACTTGAAATCATGTTTCATAGTTTGGGTAGGTGAAAGTTAGGTGTATTAGGCACAATAAAAGGGACTTAATTAATAAAGACTGTCTTAAAAATATTCATGCTGGGGCACCTGGGTGGCTCAGTCAGTTAAATGTCTGACTCTTTTTTTGTTTTGTTTTAAGGATTTTATTTATTTATTTATTTATTTATTTATTTATTTATTTATTTGAGAGAGAGCAAGAGAGCATGCACGTGCAGGGTGAGGGACAGGCAGACTGTGCACTGAGCACAGAGTCCAATGCAGAGCTCGATCCCACCACCCTGAGATCATGACCTGGGCCAAAATTAAGAGTCGAAGACTTAACCGACTGAGCCACCCAGACACCCCAAGTGTCCGACTCTTGATTTTGGCTCAGGTTATGATCTCAGGGTCGTGAGATCAAGCGCCAAGTTGGACTCCATGCTGGGCATGGAGCCTGCTTAAAATTCTCTCTTTCCTTCTCTTCTTCCCCACCCCGTCCCCCACTCTCACTCTCTCTCTAAAGTAAATAAATAAAATAAATATTCATGCTGAAAAACTTACTTGATTTTCTCTTCTATTTCTTGTTCATACTCTTTCTTCATGATATCTAATTCTTCCTGATGCTCCTTCCGCAACATTCGAAGATCTTTCTGCAACTTAACGATCTCCTTGCCCAGCTTCTGCTTCTCCTGCTCTGCCCCTGCTAATTTAAATTCCAGGTCATTGTGCTCGGCCGCCTCCATGTTACCAGGCAATCTGGGTTGGACTACGTGTGATTTGGACTTTTCTTCAGCACTTTCTTCCAAAGCTTCTGTGGGTTTATTTTTTCCATCCATCTGTTGTTGTAAAGCCTGTAATTTTTCAAATTTTGAGGTCAACTCTTCCATTTCAACTCTATGCCCTTCCCTCTCTCTTACTAAGCAGGAATCCAGTTCTTTTATCTTTTGCTCCAAGATCTGACAGGCTAGTTCCTTCCCCTGGAGTGTTTTCTGGACATCATCAACCACATTTTCCAAGTTTTGCTTTGCCCCTATGTTGTTTTCACCTCCCTCTTCTTCCACATGCTGGGATGCTATCAAGGAATAGTTCTTGCTTTTTTCTTCAAGTTCTTCCTGAAGATGATTTATCATAATTTGATCTTCATGCTGCTTTGCTTCAGCGTGTTCTATCTTTATTAAGAGCTCCTGGTATCTGCCCTGCATTTCAGAATGAGAGGATACCATCTCTTCTTTTTCCTGCTCTAGCCTCTGCAACAGCTTTTCTTTTTCCATTAGACTTCTCTGTAAAGCACTGATTTTGTCTTCGTATGCGTTCTGCACACAGCCTTGGAGACCCGCTTCCTCTTGCTTAGCACAGGCTGCCATGCGTTCTGCCGATCTGGGTACAGCTGACGCCTCTGACTGTGGTGGACCCTCCACTGACTGAAGTTTTCCTTCCAAGACATGAATTTCTCTCTCTTTCTCCTGCAATTTTGTGTTTAGCTCACCCAAATGGCCCTCTGTGTCTTTTTTATATTGCTGTTCTTTCTCTTCCATTTGAGATAACAACTGCTTCTTGATGGCAGCAATTTTTTGTTCGGCTTTTTTCTTCAGTTCTGCTAATTTTGCAGCACTTTCTAACTCAAGCCTATCTTCCAGTGCCTTCAACTCCTCTTCTTTGCCTTTCATACCTGAATTCGCATGTTCCAATTCTTTCTTCTTGGTTTCAAGTTCAGATTTCATGGAAGACACTTGCTTTTCAAGTCTTGAGACTTTTTCTTCAGCTTCTTTAACCCTGTTGTCCTTCTCTTCCCCTAACTCTTGAATGTGCTGAAGTTTCTGCAGCATTTCTTTCTGTTCAGTGTCCTTTTGTTGATTGTATTTGTTAAGAGCTTCATTTAAGGACTCAATTTCAGTTATTTTCTGAGTAAGATGCTCCTGTAATTCCACAATTCTTGCCGTCTGAGTTTTTAACTCAGTCTCTAAATTACACTCCTTTTTCTCCAGCTTACTCTTCTTATCTTCCATTTCACCCTTTAAACATACCAATCTCTCATTTTGCTGATCAAGGTCCTCCTTCAGTGCATGTATCTGCTCATCCTTTTCACCGGCTTCCTTTGTTTTTAACTCAAGCTGCATCTGCAATTCTTTAATAGTACTTTGATACTGTATGAATTTTGACTGTGCTTTCTTCTTCCATTCTGAGAATTTGTTGGACAAGTGATCTCCCTGTTCAAGAGCAGAGACCTTCTCTTTACTCAGAGTTTCAACTTTCAAAGATAAATCTTGCACCTGACCCAGCAATTCACGTTGTTGTTCCTCGTATCGCTTACTTAGTGATGAAATGGCTGCTTCTTTCTCAGTTAGGCTGATGCTGTTCTGAAGCTGGGTGTTCAAATCAGTTAGCTGTTTGCTAAGACTGCTGATCTCAGATTTCTTTTCTTTAAGCTCTTCTTTCATCAGTGTGACAGCATTGATGTTCTCTGATAACTCCTTCTTCAACTGCGTGATACAAGACTCCTTTTCAGAGGCAGCCTGTTGCTGGTTCCCTCCTTCCCTCTGTAAGGCTTCTTTCTCCATTACAAGACCTTCAATATCAGCCTTCATGCTCTTAATCTGATTTTCTTTTTCTTCTAATTGATGGGTAGCCTGTTGAAAAGAACTGTTTAGTGTGTTCTGCTCTTCCGTTAGCTGTCTGAGCTGTGCTTCTAATTCAGAAGCCTTGCAAGTTTTAATCACTAGTGCCTCCTTAACTTTTGTTGTGTGCTTCTGGCAGTGGGAAATTCTAGCAAGAATGGCATTAATTTTACTACTACTAATGTTGATGAGCTCATTTGTTTTAGCTTGTAACAGGGCTTCAGTTTTCTTAGAGTAAGTTTCCAGCTGAACTGCTAGTTCCTCGGACAGTTTTTTGAATTCCAAGCTTTTGTCTTCTAGGCTTTTCTCCTTTCTTTCATGTGAAGATTGCAAACTCTGGAATTGTGCATCTGTGGTTTTCAACTTGTCAGTCAACTCGGAAACCTTCAGCTTGTCTTTCTCTGCCAGCATCTCCAGTTCAACCATACGCTCTTGCAGAGAAGTATTTTCCCTCAGAGAATGATTCAAGTCACCCTCTAGCTTTTCAAGTTGTGCTTTTAGTTTAGTTTCATTTTGTGACAGAGAATTCGTCTGAGCAGACTGCTGGTGTAACTGTTCCTGTAATTCCCTTACTGCTGTGTTCTGCTTAATGCCTTCTTCTTTCAGCCATGCTAGTTCCTTGTTCATCTCTTCTGTTTCACATGCACTTCGGAGGATCTTTTGCTTCAGTTCTGCTACCTCTTGCTCTTTTTCCTGTAACTGGATTTCATGTTGTTCCTGGAGTTCTTCAGCTTGCTGATTAAGTTTCTTTTCCCAGACCGATATGACATCACTGAGTTCTCGTCTGTGTACCTCAGTGAGACCTTCTATCTGCTCCTTTTGGTTTGTTTCCAGTCTTGACACTGCATCACTGATTCCAGCGGAGTTAGCTTGTGCCATTTCCAAAATTTTGGCATTGAACTGTTTTTCTTTCTGACTAAGCTCTAGAACCGTATTTTCAAGCTCTTTTTTAAGTTTGGCTTCCTGATCCAGTAATTTTTTCTTTAATGTTTCTTGCATCTCCTTTGCTTTCTGCTTAATTTTTTCCATCTTTTTTTCTTGATTTTTGAATTTGGTTTCATATTCCTCATGTAAAACACTAAAACTGTCCTCCTTGGCTGATAATTTCTGTTTGAGTGTTTCAATTTCTTTGTTCTGTCCTTCTCTCATTTGTAAAATTACATTTTCCTTTTCTATCAAGCTCTGCTTTGTCTGTGCCTGTTCTGTGTTAGTATCTCTAAGTTGGGACTCATAGTGTTGGGTTAAAGCCTGTAGTTTTTCCTCCATTTCACTTTTCTGGTTTTCTAGTTGCTGCAGTAAGTCCCGTACCTGGATTTTGTGAGTGTCTAACTCAGTACAAACATCTTTCTTTTGCGTTTCAACTTTAGCTACCTGTTTTGTAAGAAGAATTCTTTCCGTTTCCAAGTCCAACAACTTCTGCTGCAATTGAGCCAAGTGCTCCTCAGATGCTTTGGCCTGCTCGTGTGTAGTACTTTGCTGTGACTGAAAAAGAGCCAGCTTAGCAGATGCCTGCTGGAGTTCCTCTTCAGACCTTTTAATATCTGCCTCTAAGTTTTCCACATGAGCCTGCTGCTCTTTCAAATGCTTGTCCTTTTCCTTCAGAAGAAGCCCAAGTTGATTAATTTCATCTTTTAATGCCTTCTCAGTTCTCTGGATAGATATCTCTTGTTCTTTAATGATACTCTCGACTTGCTGCTGGTGATGGCTTTTCTGTTCATCTAGCTTGGCCTCTAGCTCCTGCTTTACTTTATCTGCTTGATCCTTTAGTATAGAAAGCTCCTCTTCTAGCTTGTTCCGGGCTTTTAATATGTCTGATAGTTCAGAAGACAATGATTCCAGTTCTGTTTGCTTCACATCAAGCATTTCTAAAGTCTTTTCATTCATCTCTTCTATGTGGGCCTGGAAGAGACTCTCTTTGTCTTTCAACAATGTTTCTTTTTCTTGTTCATGCTTTTCTCTAAGTTTTTCCATTTCAGTCTGATGCTGTTGCCTTAACACTTGGAGTTTTTTAGTCCAAAGGGTATCCTGCTGATGCTGCAAGCTTTCCAATTCTGTCTTGTGTTTTTCAACCATGATTGTGATTTCTTTACTGTGCTCATTTTTTTCAGCTTCCAAATGAATAGCTAAATCTTCTGATTGATTTTTGCTTTCTTGCAAGCTTTTTTCCAAAGAACTTTCCAATTCAAGAATTCTCTGTTAATAAAAACAGATGTACTTTTATTAAAGTACAGACTTGCTTATTAGCGAAAATACATGACATAATGTCTACACCTGTTTAAAAATTAAAACTTAGAAAAATAACTCTATATATCATGCCAAACACTAGAAAGCACAGAGAATCTGTGCTCGATTCCTAAAGGAATCATGTAACAAAGAAAAGATTCTATTTTAACACAACTTAAAATTTCAGATTCTTTCTACCTACTTGGGTAACTATTTTAATCATGCATATTTTCAAGAATATTCTGAATGGATAGTCAAAAAGGAATAAATCATAAAGTAGATAACAGTAACTATTGGTAGGAAGATGGTTATTTTTTTCTGTGTGTTTTTTAAGGCCCATTAATAGTATTCTATTACCTTCATAATTTGATTTTGGAAGATAAATAATGTATCTGGCTTTTCCACTGCAAAAATGATTATTTAGAAGATTTTTTGCAAAAAGCTACTTATACAAATTTTACCAAAGATTACTGTTAGCTCATGAAAATGTCAATCTTGGACTCTAAAGGAAAAAGAGCTAAGTAAGGCAGAGCCATGCAACATCAGAATGGAAAAAGTCCTAAGGAATTACAAAATCCAATTTCTCCGTAAGACAGGTGAAGAAATTAAGGTATAATTAATTTACAAAGCTAGCAAGCGGAAAAATCTAGGTCTCCTGAATATCTTATCTATTCCCCTCCACCATGCCACCTTACATAAATGTGGGACATGGGAAAGTAAAGTACAGTTAGAACTATGGGAAAGAAGTGTGATTCTTTCACTGTCTAAACCAAAGCAAAAATATAAATAACATCAGTTTATTCAAAACAGGTCATACATTCCATATATTGCTAAGGGAAGGGCCAGAGGGCCTTAAAAATGTGCACACTGAGACATATAATACAAATTTGTTCACATATATATAAATTTGTCCACCACTGTTTTAATATGGGAAAACTTTATGTTAAAAGCAGGGCACTGGGGTGCCTACACTGTGACAGAAACAGGGAACAAGGGGCGCCTGGGTGGCTCAGTCGTTAAATGTCTGCCTTCGGCTCAGGTCATGATCCCAGGGTCCTGGGTTTGAGCCCCACATCGGGCTCCCTGCTCGGCGGGAAGCCTGCTTCTCCCTCTCCCACCCGCCCTGCTTATGTTCCCTCTCTCGCTGTCTCTCTCTCTCTGTCAAATAAGTAAATAAAATCTTGAAAGGAAAGAAAGAAAGAAAAAGAAAGAAAGAAAAGGAAAGGAAAGGAAAGGAAAAGGAAAGGAAAGGAAAAGGAAAAGGAAAAGGAAAAGGAAAAGGAAAGGAAAGAAAGGAAGGAAGGAAGGAAGGAAGGAAGGAAAAAACAGGACGAATTATGTCCAGGACATGGCATGAGATGAAGTGCAGGTATGTGAACCTAACCCAGTAAAACAAAAGCTTCTCAACAACTTTATACTGACTGGAGAGATAACAATAGTTTCTATATACAAATAATTCCAACCTGAATATTATTTAAACTTACAGTTCTGTAAGTTTCTGCTTCTTGCTGAAGGTCCCGAAGTTTATTTTCACTTTCCATGAGGATTGCTTTTTTCTGCAACTCTAACTCTTCCAGGGCCAAAGATTCTTGCTGTTCTTTTTCTTGGGTGATCTTCAAATATTCTGATTGACTTTTTTCCTGTGCCAAAAACAATACCACCTTAGACCCACATAAATCTTCAGCATTCCCAAAGCACTTCCACAGGAATCATGTTTCATTTGATCTGCACACCAGCCCTATGAGATAGGCAGTATCATCACCTCTCTCTTCCCATGCCCTAGCCTGCAGAGACAAAGCACTGTGGCTATTCCAGTGTGGTCCAGCCAATATTTGCCACAATTACTACTGAAAAGAAAACTTTTGTTCCAGTAACCGCACTACATCTATTTTTCCACTATTTAAAATATTTTGCAAAACAGGGCTTAATGTGAAGGGTCCCCAAATTGTCACTACTACTTCTCTGCACTCCAGAGTTTGATTATTTCAACTCTAGGCCAAGAAACTAGATTGTAAGTTTATATAATTTACGAGAAATACCTCATTAGGGAACCCCACATAGAAAAACAAATCAAAATCAGAAGATTACATGTGAATATATGGATTAGATCAAGGAAATATCTATAAAAGCCTACATAACTCTCCTCAGATGACCTGGGCTCTTTTATCAATCCCAAAAAGCTTCTTCTTTGATTGCCCTTATTATATATCAACATCTATATTAAAACTGTTTACTGCTTTGAAAAGAGAAGCTCTAGAGAGCACTTTTAACATTTAGTGGCTTTGGACTCCAATTAAGAATACTTATCCATACCTATTGCATAGAGTTCCATGGTGCTAGCAGCAATATTTTCAGTTCACTACACTCTGGTGAAGCATATATTGCTTTAAGGAAAGGTGTTGTGCCCCATTATAAGCAGACTGATATGAGAATATTAGTTTCTAATCAATTTTAAAACATCATTTTAAATATACTACATTGTCTAATGTAAACTACATTTTATTTATTTTTAATTTTTTTTAAAGATTTTATTTATTTGACAGAGAGACACAGCAAGAGCAGGAACACAAGCAGGGGGAGTGGGAGAGAGAGAAGCAGGCTTCCCGCCAAGCAGGGAGCCCGATGTGGGGCTCGAACCCAGGATCCTGGGATCATGACCTGAGCTGAAGGCAGACACTTAACGGCTGGGTCACCCAGGCGCCCCTGTAAACTACATTTTAAATACATCTCTCTGTGCCCATAAAAATAAAAGAGGACAAATAGTCTGTTGAATTTTGACTATCAACGCAAAGCTAACTTCTTTGAGGAACTAGGTAGAAAGGGGAGCAGAAAGCAGCAAGTGCACACGTGTGTGCATGCTTCATGTGTATCTGTATCCTGCTCTCTCTACTCAGAATATATGAGTAGATCAGTTCTAGAATGCAGTCTTACCAAGGCCAATGTTCAAGTCTCAGTGTCCCCAAAGGCCAATTACTCCGGCATGAAAACACACAGATCTTTATGACAGGAATTTTTTAGAACAATTCCTGGCTTCATTTATGTCCTGCTTTGTTCTTTTAATTTTTATGCCCCTATGCTGTCCTGTTATAGTTTTAAGCATTCTCGTAAACTATTTTAAATCCTTTCTAGACTGGAGCGCCTGGATGGTTCAGTCAGTAGAGCATGTGACTCTTACCTTGGGGTCCCATGAGCTCGAGCCCCACGCTGAGGATAGAGTGTACTTAAAAAAATAAAAATAATAAATAAATAAATAGGGGCACCTGGATGGCTCAGTCAGTTGAGCGTCCGACTCAATTTTGGCTCAAGTCATGATCTCAGGGTCATGAGACTGAGCCCCGCACCAGGCTCTGCGCTCAGGAGGGAGTCTGCTTAAGATTCTCTCCCTCTCCCCCTGCCCCTGCCCCAGCTCGTGCTCACTCTCTCTAAAACAAATAAGGTCTTTAAAAAATAAAAAAAATTAAAATTATAAATACTATTTCTCATCCTTCTGCACTAAAAGATTTTTAAAATTATACATACTATCTTATAGATAATAATTTCATATAAAAACAATCGACCTACATTTTTGGCATTAATACTTCTTATGGTAACCTATATAAAAAGGCTTTTCACAATTTGAAAAAGAAAATTTTTTTTTTTTGTTTCAAACTTTCAAATTACACTATTCCCCCAAATCTTACCTCTGCTTTTCTGGATATTATTTTGGTTAGTCCAGTCAGTCATTTTTTAATTTTACTTTATGTTTTAAAATATAAGTATTGAAAATTACTACTGAAATTATTCTACTTAAAATGAAAACTACTTGGTCATTTTCACTTTTTCTTCTTTAAAATGCATTTCAGACAAAACTTTCTGAGCCTTGAACTGTTATATTCAGTCTGGTGAGTTTCTAGACATTTTTCCTGAGTTATGCAGTCACTGGCTCTTGGCTTCAATTAGCCTATCTTCCCCTTTACTTCTCCATAATCACAGCTTACTGCCAGGGTGAGAGGGATGACATAAAAACAAATAAACTGGTTACTGAGAGCATGTTAGTTAATATAATTTTCACACAATACCAAGTTAATAAGCTCTGACAACCCTCTTCCCTGCCTATATCCTATCCTCTCTGCACACGCAAAGGTCAAGGCTGCCAGTAGTCTGACCTTAAGCTGAAAGGCAGGAGCAAGATGACAATGTAATAAAGCTGCAAAGTTTACCTATAACAAAAACAAAATAGGTACTTACAAGAGCTATTTTCATTTGCTCCTGAAATTGCCTTTCTTGGGTCTGAAACTTCTTGGTCAGTTCCTGCTCTTTGCTGGCCAGCTCCTCTTCATGAAGCTTCTGTAGTTTAGCAATTTGTTCTGAGGATTTCTGAAAGTCAGCCAAATAGTTAAATTGAAACACCCAGAATAAAATATGTAACTCTACAATTAAATAAGACTTTATTACAATTTAATCATCAAGCCAATAGTGTAAGAGAAAAATCAAAACATATTTCCCACATAAATCAAAAGTCACCAAAGTCTCAATAATTAAAAGAAAAGCCAATCAAGTATTGCTCATTTATTCTTTTTATGTTTTTATTTTTTTTAGAGAGTGCAGGGTGGGGGAGGGGCAAAGGGCGAGGGGGAGAATCTTAAGCAGGCTCCGTGCCTGACATGGGGCTCGATCTCATGACCCTGAGATCATGACCTGAGCGAAAATCAAGAGTTGGATACACTTAACCGAGTCACCCAGGTACCCCAAGTACTTCTCATTTAAGACAAGGATGGCTATTGCTTCAGTAGTAAGTCCTGTTGGGTTGGAGCATTTCCACATCTTGCAGGGATGTTCCCTACCAATCATGATGGGGAAGTATAGGAGGAGGAATAAGGATGCTCTCAAAGAGGGCACTCCACTATGGTCAAGCTGCCCTGACTGTACCAATCTAATGATGCCTAGCTTTCCATGCATATACTATTTATTAAAAAGTACTGGCCTTGTTCTTTGGACAGGAAGACTTAATCTTATAAAAATGTCAAACCTCCCTAGATAAATCTAAAAATTTAATATAATTGAATAAAATTACCAACAGAATGGGGAGGGAGGGGCTCACTGGATAAAATAAACATGCAAGAACAGCCAGCACTCTTCTGAAAAATAAGAGTAATAAGGGGAAGCTACCAAATAATAGAATAAAACTGAGTAATTATAACAGTGTAATACTGGCACGTGGTCAGGAGAAGCAATGGAACAGCACTGAGAATTCAAAAAAGAGACCCATATGTAGCACAATAATTTAGTATGAAATAAAGATAGTGTGTCATACCAGAAGGGAAAACATGGATTATTAAATAAATTATTTGAAGACTACTTGGTAGTCAGTCATCTGGAAAAAAATTAAAGTTGGATCCCTACCTCACTCCTAATACCAAATAAATTCCAGTTGGATCGAAGATTTAATAATAAAAAATAAAAGCATGTAAGTGCCATAAGAAAAGTAGAATTTTAAAATGATCTCAGTGAGAATATATTTTTAAATCAGAACAAAAATCCAGATAGCATTTAAGAAAAAGAAAAAAATCTCTGCATGCCCTCTCCCAAAATAAACCAATCCCAAAGCTAAAACAAATCATAAACAAAGTCAATTTAAAAAAGACAGGGGAGCCTAGGTGGCTCAGTTGGTTAAGCGTCCGAGTGTCTTGGTCCGAGTATCTTGGTTTCAGTTCAGGTCATGATCTCTGGGCTCCATGCTGGGCATGGAGCCTGCTTAAGATTCTCTCTCTCCCTCCCCCCTCTGCCCCTCCCCACTTGTGTGTGTGCTCTTTCTCTCTCTCAAAAAAAAAAAAAAAAAAAAAAAAAAGAAGATTATTTGGACAAATGCATTATATATCCAAAGAAATAATTCCTACTCTAAGTGTAAAACATCTACAAATCAGTAAGACCAACTGTCCAACAGGAAAACAAGTTAAAGATCTGACCAACCAACTCAAAAAGAAAACTGCCAATTCCTTTAAAACATATAAAAATATGTTTATCCTATTGGTAAAAAGATAAGCACATTAAAACTATAACGTCAGGGTGCCTGGGTGGCTCAGTCACTTAAGTGTCCATCTCTTGATTTCAGCTGAGGTCATGATCTCAGGGTCGAGGGATTGAGTCCCACATTAGGCTCCACAATCAGCGTGGAGTCTGCTTGTCCCTCTCCCTCTGCTCCTCCCCTGCTCACTCGCTCTCTTTCTCTCAAATAAATAAAATCTTTAAAAAAACCTACAATGTCATTTTTTTAAACTGATAAGCCTGAAAAGATTAAAAAAGGCTAGGTAACACCATCCTTGTGAGGTAACACCTTGCTTGTGAGTGTATAAAGTGTCCTCCACAGAGCGTGTAGCAGCTATACAGTAATTAAAAATACATAATCTTTGCCTAATATTCCACTTCTAGGAATCTATCCTAAAAAAACATACAGGTGAACAAATATAAGGATATTCACCATTTGCAACAGCAAAAAATTAAAACCTAAATATCCATCAGATTTATTAAATTATGAAACATTCATACAGTGAAATCCTGAGCTGTCTTTAAAACAGCTGCATTTAAAAAAAAAACACACACACAAATATGGCACCATTACCAATTGTCAATGATGAGGAACATATTAAGCAGAAAAGCAAAACACAGAGCAGTATATATAACATGCCATCTTTTGTGTTAAAAATTTAAAGAGAGGATTAAAAAACATAAAAGAGAAATTATATGCAGAGATTATCTCTGGGAAGTATATCCAAAAAGATATAAATTCTTTTCTCTATCAAAGTGATTTTTTTCCTATATCCTGAACTCATGAAATGGTCAAGGTCTAAAACATAAATTAACTCTTCTTTACAATCAAAAATTGTAGGAAAAGCATATGACTTATGTTTCAAAATTGTTGTAGCCTGTTATAATCTAGAACTATTCTTACTTTCGTCACATCAACAGCCTCCTGTTTCACCCGACTTAATTCCAGCTGAAGACTGGTACGTTCTTCCTCCCTTGTTTTTTCAATAGCTTTTATTTGTTCATCCATCTCTGCCTTCATTTTTCTCCGTGATTCTTCTGCTTTTTGGGCTGTACTCAAGGCTTTTTCAAGTTCCTCAAAAGCTACAATGAAAACAGGAGAAAACAAGTATCTCAAGAAATACTATCATTGAGCTAAAGTAGTAATTTAATTTAATTCAGTTTATAGGAACTAAGGGCAGCAGTAGCAAGACAGGTTAAAATAGTCATTTTGTTTTAAGCCAAGAGATAGTTCCGAGCCGTTCAACAAAGCCACAAGAAGTGTCCAGTTACTGAAACCAATTTGTCCTTGAGTTCTGGATTCAGATCTTAAGACTGCTTATATGAACTGTTCAGGAGTCTGGAAAAAAATTAAATTACTAATGGCTCCCCCCGCTCTCTACCCACAAATAACAAATTCAAAGAAATGAAGACTTGTTCCTACTTCTGTATGATATAATTTCAACTGCTTTTTTGTTTGCTATGGAGTTCTTATCAATAATTAGGTAATATTATTATGCACTCACTAGGACATTTTTAAGAACAGAAAAATTATTCTTTGACTAATTCTATTTTTAAAAACCTCTTAACCATATAATACATAAAGAGCAGAGTTTTTTGGTTTTGGTTTTACCATTTACTAGCTGAATCACATATTTAAACAATGTATTCTGAAATGAAATCTACTATTTGTGTAAGTTTCAAACCAGGGTTGTTAACTAGAAAGAAATCTTTACCTGATTCAACAGTATATAGAAAGGCATAACCAGCAGGGAGTTCTTTGTGAGATAAGAATTCAGGCCCTACAAAAACAATCATCGGGGGTACAGTAGTATGATCTTTAAGAAGGCCAAATAGCTCACCCAGCTTCCAACAAAATCAGACGGGTTGGATACAACAGCTGGAACTCAGCACTGAAAATATGCATCTGTGTGTGTTTGTGTATATTTGTGTGTATATGCATCTGTGTGTGTCTATGTATGCATGTGTGCACTGTACACACTCTCTTTCTCTCCACTAGCATAGCGATACGCTGTCAAAATCCTACTGCTACTATCATCCTAGATTATTTTCTTTAGTCCTCACAGAAGACACCAGACTTCCCTTTACCATAGAGATGGACTATAAACAAAACATAAATTTTCAAGATGGGTTTTAAATCTGATCAAGAAACATATGTCCAGGGGAGAGACAGTTCATTAATATACATAGTATTTTCACCCTCAGTGGTATAAGAAAGGTACAACTTCAACCTATGGCATCTCAAAAAGTAGAGCCCTTTTACTAACCACAACTTGGCTTAACAGATGGTGGATTGGGCACAGGAATTTCATACCTGAAGACAAATATCTGTTCTATAGCATATTCTTAATGGTAAATTGCATTAGTACAGAAAAAGACAAAAGAAAGGCTGAATTCTGGTAACAATTGGGAAACACAACTTACTCTGCTCAACATTTAAAAAAAATAACTCTCTAGCAAACATTTTCTTTGATATGAAAACAAAACCTGTCCAATTTATTCCTTTTATATGTCCAAAAGATAAAACTGATGTTCAAATAAGGTCTAAATTACAAAGGAATATTAATTAGCTGAAATCATTTTTAAAGACTCCTGATCTAACTTTACTGGTATTTGCCTGTAAAGACCAAGATTCTCAGACATAATTAGGCTGGAAAATAAAATATTTAAAGAAAACTGTTGTTTTGTTTTTGTTTTATCTGGATATTCTTTTACTATAAATTTTAGTGTCAAGCATAAAGAAATATCTCTTGCTACTAACAAGAAATTAGTTTCCTAATTTCTTAAAAACCAGTTTCCTAATTTCCTAGAAATAAGTCAAGTGATCAATTATAGGAGAAAATTCTATAACAAGGTGCTTACTGCTCAGTTTGTGCTGAAGGTTTAAATCTGGGAAATAGAAAAATGGGAAAAGAAATGACAATTCTTTTTAATGGCTGGATGTCACCATCGTCTTTTCATTACTGTTATTATTCAGTATGTCAAATTGTATCTTAGGACTTTTAAGCACTTTACAGAAATTTCCTAAATTAGGCTCTGGAAAACCTGAAGGTAGTTTTGATACTCTTCCAACAAAATTGAGTTTTAAGCGAAAAACTTTTCTTGATTAAGCAAAATAAAACAACTGTATACAGGCAATACCAAGTGACTTTTCCTCATTTTCATTCTTAAAATTCCACAATCCAATACAGGATAAAAATAGATGCAGTGCTCTCACTTTTTGAAATAACAAAAATCTATGTCACAAAGTTCCTACTGAGAAATAATTTTCTAATAATTAAGTTTCCTAGCCACACTCAGTAAATTTTAGAATACTCTCCTATATTATATTCTAATTTTAGTGTTTTGTCCACTAAATCATTTTCCTAAGTCACTTGATTATCCATCATACAATGATTAAAGTAGGATAAATCTGGTTCCATTCATCTAAATTTAATCCTCTCTCCCACTTTCTGCTACCACGTCAGAGAACCACATAATTTTATACCTAGAAAGAAATCTTTTAATTCAACATTCTCATTCAAATGCAAGAAGTGAGGCATCCAACTTTTCCCTCAGATGATAAATCAACTTGAATATATTAGCTTGATGCCAGAACTTTAAAATAATATTTAAGGAACACTCTTTATCTTGCATTATTTTTTAAAAACTCTAAGAATGCTGACATTGATCCAGCTCAATTGGGCAATAATGTATCTTACTAAACCAGAATTTCTGAATCGATCAGTTGCTGGTGGCTTCTAACTCTCAACAAAATATAGCATGTTATACCTCTGACAGACACAGAAAACCTCCACTGCGTTCCATCTCCACCTTGCTTTCTGGAAATGTTAAGTATCCGGCGGGGGGGGTGGGGGGTGGTATTAAAACACATTACATATATTGACATACAGAAAACATATTTCAAACTCATTCTGGATTCCACACTGTACCACAAATGAAGCCACTTTCTTACAGGAAGTCTGCCTCCAACAATGAGTCCCATTTCAATGTTGAAGGAGAATATACTAAGAGTTTACTTACTAACTAGAAATGTCTCACCCTCTGATCTTACAACCATCAGATAGAAGAAAAGTGGTGCCCATAGCTTGTAATGCTCTAAAGATAAATTTCCCACACTTTCCAAAATGAAACTATTCTAGGATTTTAATGTGAGTAAAGAAGTATGTTGTGAATGTCTACATAATTTATTTTCCAATTACCAACAAAGGATAAGTGAGTGGGGAGAAAGAAAGCGTGCATCAGCCACAGCTGACAAGTCCTCTGCCAACATGCAAGAGAGCGCAGGAAAACTACAGTCACAACACACGACAACAGGAAGGCTAAGCACGAACTGCTGCCAAATCTTGCAAGAACACACTGTGTTCTTCCAAAGCAAAATTCAATGTATCTCAGGCACTTTTTATTAAAAAAAAAAAAAAAAAAAAAAAAAAAACTTTGAAAATATTTCTAGGCAAAAATTTAATAAACCTTAAGAATGGTCCTCTGTCAAAAGTAAAATGCAGGGGAGGCCTTTTATTGCTTTCCACTTCAGACGAGGTTCACTCACATCCATGGGGATTATAAAAATGGATAAATGCTCACTAGAATTAAATGGGAAAGGTTGGCAATCTACAGCTCAATAATCCAACCATTCATTCAACAAACATTGATTGGATGTTTGCCATCTGCCAAGCATAAGCGAGGCACTGGGTGACATGAAGACAAATTTTCCAAATTTTCCAGCAGTTGACGAAGTTAAAGGCAAGGGGAACAAAACTTAGGTAAAACTAGGAAGAATGTGATGTTTGCTTTTGCCACTTCACCACCTTTGCCTCTCCTCATCCTCAACATCCTTACCCATCGCAATAACAAATGCCAGAATTCCAAGATCCAGGGAGCATTACTGTTTTGTTGCACTATCCCAGAGTACACTTTACTATAAGGATAATAAGACCCATTTTTACTCCCTCTACAGGAAATAAACATAGATGCAGAAGTGCAGAAAGGCTGCCAACCTGCAGATTAACTGTTGATCCTAAGAAGCTGATTAATGACATAAGAATGAGTAAGTAAGCCAGTGCCCGTGTCTTCATCCCAGCAAAAAAAACTGCTAAAGTTCATGTTATTAAACTAAAAACAAAAACACAGGTAGTACTACAAAATGAATGAAATGCAAATTAGCAGAGAAAGGAATAAAATGAATTTTATCAGAATTCCCACCCATCATCAAGGCTCTTTTGTGAATAAAAGCAAAAGTCTAGAGCAGCAGTTTTCAAAGTGTGGTCCAAAGATCCTTGGGTCCTGAGGCCCTTTCAGCGGGTCTATGAGGGCCTCTTTTTTCCAAATACATATCTGCCTAAGGGCAGATTTTCCTTATATATTTCAACCAAAATAACATATCACAACAGACTGAATACAGAAATAGGCATGAAAATCCACTATTTTCTATTAAGCCAAACAATGAGATAAGCAAAAATGTAAAACAAGACCGCTCTTTATACTAAATTTTGTTTTGGAAAATATAGGTAATTTTTATAAAAATGTTTAGATTAATATGTAACAGGTTTATAGTTATTTTTAAAAGAGCTAAAAACTTTATTCATTTCTTAGTTTTAATTTCTAATAGAGTAAATATCACTAAATGTAACCCATATAAACAAAAGCTCTTTGGAATCCTCAGTAACTTTTAAGAGTGTAAAGAGGTCCTTGAGATCAAGAAGTTTGAAAACCGCTTGTCTAGAGTTTACAAAAATGAAAATAATACTACCACCCAGTGGCACAAACCAGATAGTGCAATACTTGTATATAAATTGGGGTCTTCGGAAATTTAGTATCACATTTGCAATGGAAATCTACTTTTTAAGCCACTTTCTGAAATACACAACAAGATTCACTCTACAGATTGACCAGGCTTTGACTTCTAAAAATTTCACAGATCTATCCAAATTTTCATGTACTCCTTACATTAACCATGCAAATTTATCTATTAAATACCTTGAAAACATTAGGCTAATCTTGAAAGGTATCAGGCTAAAGCTAAGTAAATTTAACTAAATTGAAAATATGATTCTGATAGTCAATGACACTGTAAGAGCGCTATA